GTCTGGAATGCATCCTCTGTTCCCTCCTGCCTCTTGCACCCGTGAGCATGCTCTTCTGTTCTTCCTGACGCGTCTTGTCCCACTGTGCCTTTTCTCTTAGTTACACATCCCACGCAAAGCCCCAGCTCTGCAAGCAGGGCGACGTTCCCTGTCGGCGTTGACGTGGAGACTGCCCCCTCGGAGGACTTCGTCGCGAGCAGCACAGACTCCAAGGTGGCCTTGGGATATTCTCGGGCTTATCTCATAGCACTTCTCATGTCCTCTGGCATCTTGTTAGCATGTTCTTCGGCATGTTCTTCCATTTCGTCCGGGCTTTCAAGGGTACGTTCCTCGACTCTTCGGGTTCGGAGTCCAATCAGGGGCCTTCGAGGGTGTACACCCTGCGCACCATTTCTAGGCATGGCGTTGATTCCGTTGATGTGGTGAAGGAGGTGAAGGATCTGGCAAGTCAGGGCAATGCAGCAAGGGCCAACAGTTCAGAGTGAGCGGAAACCGGCCATTGCTATCTGATTTCTGACTCTTGCCCGCTCGCCATGCAACAGTTGGCTTCTGCATGGAAACCTCGACAGTGGTGCCCTCGAACTCTTCAATTATGTTAGCAACTACTTCTATCCCGGCACACCTGTCACATGTTCACGAACCCGAGACAATCCTTGCAACCCTGAATCTTCCCACTCCCCCACTCCGGGGTTCCGTGTCCGCCAGGCCCCAGGCCTAAGGCGTTTGGGGAAAAGAACACACGACCTCCCACCATGTCTGGACCTCCTCTAGACCCACGAACTCTGAACCTGAACGCCCGTATGCACTCCTGTGGACTTTCCTGAACCCCATGAACCTGCTTTGCACCTCCATGGACCTTCTGTAGGCCCCCCCTTCATGGATCTGGATGCGCCCTCCACAGCGGGCTTCCTCTTGCCTTTTGGGCACCTTCATCCTATGGAATCCATCTATTCTAGACATGTCTGGACCCCTTGTTCTGGCTGGACCAATGAACTTGTCGATATCTCTCGTCCTGTTCCGTGGGCCGAGCCGAGGCGAGGGCGCGATAGCGTTAATAATATTCTGGCCAAAGGCACGACAACCACAGCGCCCTCCGGCGAGTCCTCACGTACCGCTGCAGGCAGCGCGAGATTGTTCTGCCTTAAAGCACAGCTCCAGGGTGACTAGATGGATTAGCTGTTCACAGAGACGACAGAGAAAACGGTCCACACTGACACACATACAATCCTGAGCAGCCGGGTATCAAAGTTGATGAAGTCGTGGTGCTGGTCCTCGTCACTGTTGTTGACGACGACGTGCCTCAGCCGAGAAGAACACCGCGAACGTAACGAATGAGTCGCAAAGTCGCGCATAGGTTTTCGCGGGGCTCCAAGACGCTCCAAGCGCCGGGAGAGGCTGACGACCGACCAATCGAGACCACAAAGAGAATTGGTCCAGAGCAGTTGCTTCATGACAGTCGGCTTCCATGAGAAGCCGATCATGCAAGTACTCAAGGGGAGATCAGGTGAATGGGTTGGAAGGATCACTTACAGTCCATCTCTTGAGCGTGAGCCCAGTCCACGGGCGAGACATGCTACAAGTTGGGAGCTGCCAGTCACCTGGGACCGAGAGTACATGGGACAGACCTGATCCAGGAGGCATCTTGAAGAGATGCGCAATGCTTCCATGTTCGACAGCAAGGAGCCGAAGGAGTGGTGTACGAGGCTCAGGACAATCGACCACAGCAGCAAAACTGTCATCGCTGACGTATCGACAACCTCAGCTCGCAACTCGTTGTCGTCGTCGTGGATGACAGTGTTGTGGATGAGCTGACAGGACACAACGCTAAGCCATGCCAAAGCCGTCCGGATCCGTCCGGTACTAGAGTTCGAGTCACATCGAGTCGTGGTCTCACATGTCTCAGATGTCTCTCAAACCCTCAAACGAATCCTCGTCGTGGACGTAGTCGTCGTGGATGTCGTCCAAGTGCTCGAGGTTGTTGCCTCAGCTGAATAGGCCCTGGGCGTAGTGTCAGCCTGCGTGCCGGTACTTTCCCTCTTCCTGTACTCTCGCTGTGCCCGCGGCTGTTGTAGCGGTGCTTGTAGTGTTGGTCACCTTAGGCTTTTGCACGAATCTGCTGCTTGCACAGTCGCTTCTGGGAGGTATCCAGAAAAACCCTACATCCGACTGCTGGCAGCATGCTGTTGTCGAAAGTGTGGTCGTGGATGTTGCCGTAGTGCTACCTGAAGCCCAGCAAATGATGCAAGAGCCGCGCGAACATGCACTTTCATCATGAACAGTCATGAATCAACCACAACCTACCACAACACTTCAGGTTGATTGGCGAGAGCTTGTCGATGTGGTTGTAGATGATGTGGCTGTAGATGATGTGGATGTAGATGATGAGGATGTAGGTGATGTGGTTGTAGGTGATGTGGTTGTCCTGAATCAAGACACTATATTCCACCGCTTCAGACACCACATTCACTGCAACTTTACCTCTAGACTTCCTCAGCCTCACAGTCCGAACATTTTAGTGTGTCACAAGTTCACCGCTTGCTTCAGTCACTTGTGGAACCTTGCGGAAGATGTGCAGCACAATTGGCACTGAGGCGGCCACGTTGAAGAGCCTTGGCAGCGAGCTTACGAAAGCGTTAAACGTCGTAGCTGACCTCCTTAAGCAAGCAAAGGCAACTGTTGATCTTAAGACGCCCTGGCCGCCTCTTCGGATGGTCTCATTCGGTCTCATGCCGATTTTTCAAGTACAGGTCTGCAGCACAGGGACTTGATGAGGTAGACCGCGTCGTGGACGACGTCGTCTGTGAGGACCTCTAGGAGAGAATTGGTTTCATGCTAATTTCCAGCTCTCACATCGACCCTTCAGGGTCACTTGGCACACAGTCTGGGGCCCTGACGAGGTGGAGCCTGGGCGGAGTCTAAGTGCCCCCAGGTGCAGGGAGCTCTAACAGTCGTGCGAAAGCTGTAGAAAGTCCGTGTCTAGCTTCATCTAGCTTCAGCTACAAGCAGCCCTTGCTCATGCCCTACCAAACTAACACCCAGCATAAAAAGCTATCTGCCTGGGATGCGGGATGACCCTTGCAGGCACTCAAAACACAAGGCCGGTGTAGGGGCTCGACTGGCTGTGGTTGTAGCAGACGAACTGCCTCGGTGGCGCTGTTGCCGTACGAGAGTTGGAGCAGAAAGGAATGAGGAGTAACTTTTCAAGACCAGGGTGTCTCCTGACAACCCCAAGAAACCGAATCTTGGTTGCAGAGGAGGTACTGGTAGTCGTACCTGAGGCTGGTCCAGGGAACTGCAACTCTGCAATAACATCATCTGCACTACGATTCAAGCAGCGACAAACTGCTTGAACTTTACGATTTAGTGTCTCCAGTTCGATGTATCGCTGTATGGACAGATGCACTGCGATCAAGTTGAACCACGTCACTGATTGCCTCGCCTTGGAAATCAGCCGCCGCAAGGATGGTTGGTTTCAGAGGAATGCCGACCAGAAGGGAACGTAAGAAGCAAAGCGGTCAAACTGTCTGCATCATTCTCAAGGATCGCATGAACCGCAACTGAGTTTGGTGACAAGCCTGTCCCTTTCAAGCCAAATTGCTGAAGATGATGCCAGTGCCTTTGGGATCCATGCTGCGTGTGTGTGGACCAGGAACATGCAAGGAAAAGCTGAGCTTCTCAAAACTGGAAAATTCTGGTGCTGGACCCCGATTGCAAGCAAGCGACGAGGGCTAAATCTGGTGTGCACCGGGAACGTTGCCTGTGACCGGCTGCGAGAACCGATATGCACTTGCTAAACAACCAAGCCATGCCCAAACCGGCGTCAGAGACGTGTCAGCAGCAATCTGAAGCTACAAATTCATCCGAGACAGCCTCGTAGCTGGCACCGGACCGTAGGAGAGCATCCATATTGTGGTCATACAGCACCTGAAGCTTCACATTCACAAGGAACTTGGTGCCCGATGTTTCTGTGTTTGTGTTGAGAAACAGACACGAACTACCAGTGGAAGCTGGATGCATGGACCGCATGTCACGTACATCGCACTTCTGCAACTCAGGCTAGCGTATCGAACAAAACCTTCAATCTTACCATCTTGCCTGAAAACGTCTTAACGCACCAGCGCGGCTTGTACAGCCAAAGTGCCCAGGCTATGCTTTCTGGACTGGTCTGAACTCCGCCTCCGCGTTGGCCTCTATTGTACACAGACAGGCTCCTCAGGAAGGCGGAGACGCAGCAATGCAGCATGGTCACCTTTTGTGGAATCGATGCACTTTAAACCGACAGGTCCAAGAGGCAGCTCGGCGAATGGCTCCACATACACGTCCACGAACTTCGCTTGCTGCGAGTGGCCAAAGCCAACTTGAAGCGGGACTCCTCCAAAGAAGAGGGAGCCACAGTACGGCGTCTGCAGGCGTTTCCTAAACTCTCTTGGCATTGATAGTCACTGTACGGGACGGACTCCCCATCATTTTGCCCCAAGCATGTTCCGCCTGGCACCACAAAGGGCAACCTCGAGGGATACCTCAGATCTTCTAAGTCCAGCCTCTGAACTGGCATGCTCTTTCCCGCTTCCGGACGTTCCATCCCCCCCCCCCCGATTGCGTCTGGCTCGCTTCTCGTCTTCGCCAGCTTCCAGGTCTGCAGCCGCCAGGGCTCCGTAGAACTCATCAGTGACAGCCTCAACCATTTCTGGGTGCAGGTGACGCGGCTGGGGTTCTTCAGGGATAAGAGGGTGCGCAGCAGGAGAGTAAGCACAGAGTTGCCGCTCCCTACAGTCAGGAAGACCTCGGACTCGGCCCAGAGCCCAAAAACTTCTGGCAAACGCCGACACCGCAACCATCAGGGGGGAACGGAGTGCACTTGTTTGCTGGCGTCGAACCCTCACAAGCCGGGAAGAACTGGAAATCGAAAGCTTCAAGGCGACCAGGCCACCCATCCAAGTCCCTCGGTACTGCTGCCTGATCATGGCAATCCACACCAAAACTTCCAGAACATCCAGAACATCCTAGGTTCTTGATGCGAGAAAAGTTTGGGCATGTGTTCGCGGAACTTCTGGGCTCAACGAAGTTCACACCCACGAGCCTCTCGCGACTGTCAGATACCTGGGATGTCTTGCCGACTTGGCAATGGGAAGCTTCATTGTGAAGGGCTGTCTGGCAGAATCCAAGACATTCCAAGACTAAGAACCCATGAGAATCCAGAAACGACGAGCACTGTGGCAAGGAGAATGAAATCGAATTGCTTGCTTCCCGCGACACATCTTTCACGGGAAGCTTGGGCCTCTTTCATGACATCCATCTGCTTAACCATCATTCCGAGATGCAGCGTTTCACCGGCGATGGCATGGAACTCATGCAGTTCTCGATGACCTTCCTGAAACTCTCTTCGGCTGTCTGCGCCAGGAGGACCAAGCGTTCCGTTGCTCACTACGGCACCTGGCAAGGGCCAACAGAAGTACAAGAACAGTGCCTACAAGACGGCTCTGCATCACCCCTTAGATTGGCACCGTTCTCCCGCTCAATGAGGTAGCTTGCATCTCCCCAACCTCAGCGGCCAGTGAGGTTCCTCCTGATAAACTTCTTTAATTGCACCAGCACCTTTCAGCTTGCAGCCAACAAACTGCCTCCGGAGGCATTCATGGGAATCATCATCATCCTCACAACCGACTCTCCTGGGCCAGAAAAAGCTGGGGAAGCAATGATTCAGCAAGGACATGCGAGGGCTGTGTTGTCACAATCCTTAAATCAACCCTGGAACCAAACACCCTTAACCCTCACCACCCATCTTATCACTTCAACAACCAGCTTTTTCTTGTTTCACATGAAGACCATGCTTCGAAACTTGGGAATCACCGTGTCAGGAGTGAGAAGGAGGTATCTGCCCTAGAAGCGCAAGGGCATTGAAGCAACGGTTAGGAAAGCTCTTCTTACTACGAAGCGCAAGATACCTCAAAGAAACATCTGCATGCTCAATATGCAAATTCGATGCTAATTGAACCACACCTACAACTGATGACGGTGCTGGTGGTCTGTCCATGTATTAGAAGCGTTCCACATCCGAACACTTCAAAAAGAGCTCACAAAAACTAAACCGATCGGAAGTGCAGAGAGCATGGAACATAAGGCCGAGCCAGTAACCAACGAGTCAAGCATCCATCAATCTTCGTAATCGTCCATGTTACGTCCGTCCAGCTGGCATTGTTATAGTCGAGCATGACGAACTGCAACAACCTTCCACTGCAGCATGCGATTTGGTTTTTGTCGGGAGTGTGCATGTTAGCATCGTTTTAGCATCGGGAAATTCGGAAGCTCCTCTTCAAGAAGAGATTCAGCTACATACAAATTGCACAGCCTAAGCTGCCACCTGCCTATTCAGGTTTGGCAGCGACCAATGCTGAACATGCGATCAAGTTGCGTCTTCGGCGGGGCAAGCACCTCTGCAGTTGTCCAAATTAGGACAACTTTGAGGCAGCACAGGCTGAAAAACAAACTACAGAGAAAAACCAAGAGCAGATTGCACATTAGCCTCATTAGCCCTGCACGTTCGGCCGCTTTGTAGGGCATTAAACAAGAATAGGAGAAATTGCACTTCGTCTCCACTTGCGCTGCCTCAACGTACTTGCACTCAAGCACCATCATCGTCGTGCTGAGGTCCCACACAAAAGAAAACCTGTTCGGAACTGTTCCACGCATGACCATGTGCTGCAGCAGGCAATGGCAGATGGCGGGTACGAGTATGTCTAACAAGCTTCTCGATAGGAAGGTTCTGTGTGCTGGAAAGCCCCAAGAATCATGGCATGATTGGGCCTGCCTCCCCCAGCTGGCGATGACAGAGGGATGGTACTCCAAAGTGTATTCGGTGGCCAACTGCACATGCGCAAACGCTGGCTCGGGCTAAGTTGAAACAAGCTGCACGGCGAAAGAGGCTTAGCTGCCGGGAAGATTGCCAACATGTGGGCTGACCTGGCTGTAGGGGACTTCCTCGCCAAAGGAAAAATCCGGAAGGTACGCCATCACGACTCGGCCATAGATCGTGACGAAGTAGATCCGCGAAGCAAACCTAGCATTTCTTAGCGGGCACTCTGATGAAGCACCCTCAAAACTTCTTCAAATCAGCTAGGGGAAGGAGTGCGTATCCGCCAAGTAGCACGTCCAGGTGTGCCCCCATAAAGTCACCAAGTCCGCTTAGGTCCAGGGTCTGCACAGTCGACAAACCTGCAGCACCACGAACATTCTGGACACAATCACAAAATTCTGCAAACCCTCAATTCCCCCAAAGCCGACAGCCCAGAGGCCTCAACCACAGCCGCGGACATTGGACCTTTTGCCCTAGTCTATGTTGCAAAGCCAAAGCCAACTCCAACAATCATCCCTTAAACTACCATCCTTTAAGCATCCCCCCAACTTCCAACTTGTCCCAACTTTCTCACGAGATGCTAAAGTTGGCCAGATCGAAGCGCACCGCCAAGCCGAAGGTGCCGGGGACCAGGTATCCAAAGCCATCTCCAGAGACACTTTACTCGGGACTTTCGGGACTCTCCAAGGGCGCGAATATCAGTTTCGTGCTTGCAGCTTCGTGTTTGTTATGTTGTGCGATGCTACTGATTCTTGTCGACCATCGCAAGCATACTCGCACACCCACCCCAGCCAAGTCAAGCCAAGAAGACAACAAAAACTCAACAACGCTGTAGCATAGCAAAGATATAAGTGCCGAGGGCTTCGTAAATGTCAACCTCCGGGAGGTCTGGGAACGTCCCTGTTGAAGACAACAGCTGCAGATGACCAGATGAGAAGCTTCGGAACGTGACCAAAATGACCTGACCAACGCAACCCCCCCCCCCCCCCCAGTTCCCTCAATGCCTCGCTCAATACCAGTGCGGAATCCTCTGAGGCCCCTGGGTGCACTGACATATTGGATATCGAGTGATCGTCCGTTAAGACGACATGTCGAACAGAAGCAGCACACCGATGACACGTCTCTGAACTCATATCTTGCCAGGGCGCTCTTGGATCATCCCGAGATCCAAGATCTCAACTGCTCGGAAATCGCTTGCATTGAAGCGCACCTGACAACTGAACCGGGAGCATCTACGACAAAAAGCCACAAAAGCCACCAAAGGTCTCGGAGGCTCATCTGCAATCCCTCTTTGCGACGAGGCACGACCTTGCTCAAGGGGCTGCCATCTCTCGAGGAATGCGGCACCAAGAAGCCGTACCCCTTCGAGAAGAATCCGCCGGAGAAGCAATGAAGGTCGCTTGAAGCTGCGGCCAAGTCCAAGCCTTTTGACATCAAAAGCAAAACTCAGCAAATAAAGAACAAAGCCAAGACAAAGCAATAACATCAATTTTGCACCTTTAAGGGCGATTCTCTCACAAAAGAGACCTCTGACTCTCTCACATTTTTTCGGCTTCTCTTATACAAACATATCACTCCACGCTTGCCGTCGCGAAGCTGTTTTGCACTGTTTTTTGTCGGACAGAAGCCATAAACCCTTGCTGGGTCGCATAATCATTGTGAGTTTTTGCTGATTCTTCACAAAATCCTGGTAAACTTCACCCCTGCATGCTGCTCAGAAAAAAAGACTTTTCTGGGCGGCTCTTTACGCTTCAGGGTGTGCCATCATCGTGCGGGCATGGATGCACTGGCCGTTCGCACGGACTGGTAGCATGCACGTAATCATCGTGCGGGCATGTGCGAGAAACATATACATATATGTATATGTATGTAGGACCTTTATGCGTTATTTGACGGTCCTGCTTCGCCTTCCAAAATTTTAAGGATTTTAAGGAATTTAGGGGTTTTCCAAAATTTTAAAAGGACCACAAAATGCTTAAAATTTTGAAAGCCCGGACCTTTCAAAATATTTTAAGGATTTTAAGGATTTTAAGGCCTTTTAAATTCTGAAAATCCTTAAAATCCTTAAAATTTTGAAAGAAAATTAAACTATTTTCCGGAAAGAGGCAGGCCCATTTAAAATTTTAAAAATCCATAAAATCCTTAAAATCCTTAAAATTTTGAAAGGTTGGGGCTTTCAAAATTTTAAGGGTTTTAAGGAATTTAAGGCCTTTTAAATTTCTTAAAATCCTTAAAATCCTTAAAACCCTTAAAATTTTGAAAGAAAATTAAATTATTTTCCGGAAAGAGGCAGGCCCATTTAAAATTTTAAAATCCTTAAAATCCTTAAAATTTTGAAAGCCCGGGGCTTTCAAAATTTTAAGGATTTTAAGGAATTTAAGGCCTTTTAAACTTCTTAAAATCCTTAAAATTTTGAAAGAGAATTAAATTATTTTCCGGAAAGAGGCAGGCCCATTTAAAATTTTAAAAATCCTTAAAATCCTTACAATCCTTAAAATTTTGAAAGCCCGGGCCTTTCAAAATTTTAAGGATTTTAAGGAATTTAAGGCCTTTTAAATTTCTTAAAAACCTTAAAATCCTTAAAATTTTGAAAGAAAATTAAATTATTTTCCGGAAAGAGGCAGGCCCATTTAAAATTTTAAAAATCCTTAAAATCCTTAAAATCCTTAAAATTTTGAAAGCCCGGGCCTTTCAAAATTTTAAGGATTTTAAGGAATTTAAGGCCTTTTAAATTTCTTAAAATCCTTAAAATCCTTCAAAATTTGAAAGAAAATTAGAAAATTTTCCGGAAAGAGGCAGGCCCATTTAAAATTTTAAAAATCCTTAAAATCCTTAAAATCCTTAAAATTTTGAAAGCCCGGGCCTTTTAAAATTTTAAGGATTTTAAGGAATTTAAGGCCTTTTAAATTTCTTAAAATCCTTAAAATCCTTAAAATTTTGAAAGAAAATTAAATCATTTTCCAGAAAGAGGCAGGCCCAAAAAAATTTTAAAAATCCTTAAAATCCTTAAAATCCTTAAAATTTTGAAAGCCCGGGCCTTTTAAAATTTTAAGGATTTTAAGGAATTTAAGGCCTTTTAAATTTCTTAAAATCCTTAAAATCCTTAAAATCTTGAAAGAAAATTAAATTATTTTCCGGAAAGAGGCAGGCCCATTTAAAATTTTAAAAATCCTTAAAATCCTTAAAATCCTGAAAGTTTTGAAAGCCCGGACCTTTCAAAATTTTAAGGATTTTAAGGAATTTAAGGCCTTTTAAATTTCTTAAAATCCGTAAAAACCTTCAAATTTTGAGAGAAAATTAAATTATTTTCCGGAAAGAGGCAGGCCCATTTAAAAGTTTAAAAATTCTTAAAAGCCCTAAACTCCTTAAAATTTTGAAAGGTTGGGGCTTTCAAAATTTTAAGGATTTTAAGGATTTTAAGGATTTTTAAAATTTTAAATGGGCCTGACTCTTTCCGGAATATATTTTAATTTTATTTCAAAATTTTAAGGATTTTAAGGATTTTAAGAAATTTAAAAGGCCTTAAATTCCTTAAAATCCTTAAAATTTTGAAAGCCCCAACCTTTCAAAATTTTAAGGATTTTAAGGATTTTAAGGATTTTAAGGATTTTTAAAGTTTTAAATGGGCCTGCCTCTTTCCGGAAAATAATTTAATTTTCTTTCAAAATTTTAAGGATTTTAAGGATTTTAAGAAATTTAAAAGGCCTTAAATTCCTTAAAATCCTTAAAATTTTAAAGGGCCCGGGCTTTCAAAATTTTAAGGATTTTAAGGATTTTAAGGATTTTTAAAATTTTAAATGGGCCTGCCTCTTTCCGGAAAATAATTTAATTCTCTTTCAAAATTTTAAGGGTTTTAAGAATTTAAAAGGCCTTAAATTCCTTAAAAAAATCCTTAAAATTTTGAAAGGTCCGAGCTTTCAAAATTTTAAGGATTTTCAGGATTTTAAGGATTTTTAAAATTTTAAATGGGCCTGCCTCTTTCCGGAAAATGATTTAATTTTCTTTCAAATTTTTAAGGATTTTAAGGATTTTAAGAAATTTAAAAGGCCTTAAATTCCTTAAAATCCTTAAAAATTTTAAAAGGCCCGGGCTTTCAAAATTTAAGGATTTTAAGGATTTTAAGGATTTTTAAAATTTTAAATGGGCCTGCCTCTTTCCGGAAAATATTTTAATTTTCTTTCAAAATTTTAAGGATTTTAAGGATTTTAAGAAATTTAAAAGGCCTTAAATTCCTTAAAATCTTAAAATTTTTGAAAGGCCCGGGCTTTCAAAAATTTTAAGGATTTTAAGGATTTTAAGGATTTTTAAAATTTTAAATGGGCCTGCCTCTTTCCGGAAAATAATTTAATTTTCTTTCAAAATTTTAAGGGTTTTAAGGATTTTAAGAAATTTAAAAGGCCTTAAATTCCTTAAAATCCTTAAAATAGGATTTTAAGGATTTTTAAATGGGCCTGCCTCTTTCTGGAAAATGATTTCCGCCGACCCCAGCCGGGGGCGGCGTCAGTGAAGACCCATTGCCCCTACCACCTACTCCACCCCATCCAAAGCTCTGGCCCATGCTCCCACTCTCCATCCCCTTGACCTACCCCTCATGGACCCAGCTCCCTACCCCTTACCCCTCACGCACCCTGCCCCGCCGCCCATGCCCCTCATGGACCCATGGGTTCTGGCCCCACGGCTCCCCTCCGCCCTTACCCCCACATGGCTCCTGGCCCCATGGCTCCCCATTGGTTATGGTCCACGGCCCAAGCAGGTGGCTTCTCCGCCCCTACCCCCCCCACCCACGCACCCGCCCCCCCCCCATGGCTCTCCCATTCTTCATCCTTGAGCTGCATGGCTGCCAATGCTGGTTCTTTTTCTGGCCCCTGCTACCCCCACCCCCAACCCCGCCCCGCCGCCCATGCTTGTCATGGGCCCCTTGCTCCTGGCCCCATGGCTCCACCCCCACCCCCAACCCCCACCCCCAACACCCCACCCTTTCCACACTTCCACCCCCACCCCCACCCCCCACGCACCCCGCCCCCCCACTGGACCCATGGCTCCTGGCCCCATTGGCTCATGGTCCACGGCCCATGCCATGGATGTGGCTTCTCAGCTGACTTTAGGGCCCCAGTGCATGCCTGCCCCCAGAATTTTTGGGAAGTGGCGAATGTCCACGAGCTTGGATTGCTTGCCAGAACCCTAAACCCTAAACGCTGAACTCTAGGCCTTGCAAGGTCTCGACTGCCTCAACCCTCCATTATCCCCGAAAATCTGCAAACCCTCCTCCTCGGCATCCCAAACCCTGACTGGGCGGCCCGGCGCTTCCGCCATGGTCTCCGCCGCCACGGCGGTTTAGGGGTTCGGGTTTGTGGTTTCGAGTTTGGGGTGTACGTCGAGGCCTCAGGTTCAAGTCTCCTGGTTACGGGGGTTTAGGGTTTGGGGGTTTGGGGTTTCAGGGTTGCGGGTTTCGGGTTTGCGGTTTGCGGTTTGCGGTTTTAGATTTGGGGTTTAGCCCCAACTCCCTGCGCATCAGGGCTCCATGTTTCGCCCCCCTGAACTCTACAACCTGACCAAGCCCTGCGCATATATCTATATATATATATATATATATATATATATACATCATCCGCGGCCGGAGCCCACAGTGCCTTGGCCCCCCTTGGAG